AAAAAAGGTGTATTTTTTCCCTTTTGCTCTCCTGCAGCTTTGATCTGCCCTCATGTTTTGTTTGGGACCGCTGTGCTAGCGTGTAGCTTTAGCTTTCTGCACAACCTGCCAATAGATAATTTAAGAATGGTTTCTTTCAAGAACAGTGAGAGCACCACGTTAGCTAACTCCCAGAATGATTACTTGTCTCCTTACAGATAGCTGTTGACCTGTTCCTTTAATGTTACAGGTCTGCATCCCACTGCTCTCTTAAGCTGACCTGCTTCCTTCTTTTTAATGAAATTGTCCCTTTAGCCTTTTTCTTGCATTGCCTTTTCAACAATAACATTAGAAACGTTCTGCTCAGTTCTTTCCTCTGCTAACACCTTGCCCAGAGCTAACTTGCAGCTTCACTCTGTCAGCTGTAAGATATAGATATACTGTTGTCTTAATTACTCATATTTCTCCTGCTGCTCATAATTCTGCTTGTTCCACCAAAGAGCTCTTCAGAGAGCTTTTCTGCTTCCTTTCTCCTTTCTTTGGGGGTTTAAAGGTTGTCAGATATATAAACGCTCCTTGTTGCAGAGCTTTGGTTGTGACAGTGTTCTTTGTGGAAGAGATTTAGGGGGATGGGAGAGCTAAATAGGAATGCCTTTACAATTCTGTGGAAGAAGAGAATACACACAGCATTACCTTGCATAACAGAACATCACAGAGTGTGTATGGCAAATTCCATCTCTAATGAGTAGTGAGGCAGCTATTCCTCTACAGCTGGAAGTGTCAGTGCAATTGCCAAGGGCAGAGGTTTCTTTCCTCTCACTGTCCATCAGAGGCTATTCACAGCTCGATCTGGCTTACTGCTATTCCTCTAAAAATGCAGCTGAAGAGGGACTGGAAACTTAAAAATGCCATCACTGTGCTATGAAAAAAACATATTTTTGTGGTTTTAGCTCTCTCCTTTATGATTATATGCTACTGTTTATGTTATTGATATTAGTTAATGTCTGCTACTGCCCACGGACACCTAGAGCAGGCTGACCGCATGACATCTGTGCATTTTTGGTGACGATCTGAGCAACCTTTGTTGCTGAAGTGAGCTCTCCAGCGAGTAGCACCTTTGGCCAAAGGTTTTCCATCCTGGCTGTTGAAGTCTGCTCTCAATTTCAGCAGGCACCAGCTCTGTGCAGTACGATAGCTGGCAGAATACAGAACAAAATTCAGCTGGTTGTCTTATTTCAGTTCAGTTCAGCTGGCTGACAGGTTCAGGAAGCAGTTCCTTGAGTTTAAATTAATTGGATAAATTAAGAGCCTGTTCAACTGCTATGGTGGAGTCTGCTCCTGCCACCAAGCTGGTGCGAGGTGGGATGGAGCTGGATGCTCCTTACACAAGTGTGGCTCAGACTTTCTACTCGGGTTCAATTTGCTGATTTTGTTGTAGTTGTTTTTTAATAATTAACTGGTGAAAATGCCGTACGCTTTCATAGAATGAAACAGAGCAACGACAGAGCAATGCCAAAGAACTGAGCACAAAGTTGGAAGTGACCTAAGAGAAGTAGTGGGCCTCTCAACAACACAGTGCTGTAAGTCATGGCTGAGATCATCAAGGAGCACCGATATGACTAAAGAGTCTGCTAGGAGAAGAAATGGAAATAGATGAGAGTACTCAATGAGAGGTATTAGAACTAAAGAATAATTATGTTCTGCATGGAGGAATTTCATGGAGAAAATAGCTCTTCAGGTTTGTGCTCTGCTCTTGAGGAGCTAAAAGGAAGAAGAAGCTGTCTCAGACAAGTCGAGTTGCAGGCAATGTCACACCAGTTAGGGCACAGGACATACAGGCCAGTGAGAGCTCATTTCAAGCATAGGTATGTGGGAAGCTCATAGTGTGGAAATGCCAAGTGTGTAACAGCCAGTCCCAGACTGGGCAGAGGCCTGCTCAGTTTGATCAGGAGTCACCAGGCAGGCCACTGACATTGCTGGGGGCGAGAGGGAAAATAAGCAAGTGCCTGACTCAAGGTTTGCTCAAGGTTCACAGTCCCATCTCTGCCTCCTGAAAGGGGCTTTGGGGATGATAGTCTGTGTGTGGCCATGCAGTGCTGGAACACTCAGTTGTTTGGTGACCTTCTGCAGAGATGCTGGATGTATTCCTTGTCCTTGTGCCTGAGTTCTCCAAATGTGAGAGTGTTTCCCAATTACCTTCTCTATACAAAACCAAGGGTTGTTATGAGAATTAGCTCTCGTGACTGTGTGGTACTTGGATGCTATGGCAATGTAATTAGCTGCATAGAAATCTTACTAAAAATGTATTTGGTGGAGGAGAGGCCAGGGTGGGGGCCTGGTTTGGACACATGAGTGCTAAAGGGGTACGTTTCCAGAGCTGTGGCTTCAGCACAGCCCAGCTGCATGAGGCAAGTCCTTGGAGGCAGATGTGGCAGACCTAGGGATGCAGGGCATTTATTAGCCCTGTGTTCATATGACATACAATACAGAACAAACTGTTTGCAGCATTAATGGATTAGATAACAGCTCTCCACCCCCAAGAAGACATTTGAAATTTTTATGTAGTGTCTTGGTTTAAAGGTCTTTTTCATCTGATGTATAACTCGAAGTAAACTTCAGGAAAGCATTATTGTTGCCATTAAATCCCTCTTTTCTGCCTCTTTCTCTTCAAAGTCATGCATGCATTCAGGAACTTCTGGACCTCTTAAACCAAAGGAGAGAGGCGTGGGATTCAGCACGGAAATCAGAATGCCTGGGTTCAGGAAAGCTGTGCTGATGATTCCTTTATCTCTGTTATGCTGCCAACCCCCAGACTTTGGCTGCCTAGGTCCTTTTGCATTTTTATATCTGTAAGGTGTTTTTTACTCCCTGCCCTCAACATGACCTCTGTAGCTATGGTTCCCAAATGTTACCCATATTAAATATGAGTATGTGTATAGCATCCACGAGGCACACACTCCCAGGCTGTTAAAGTCCTCACACTGTAGCTGCAGCTTGTTTAGGCAGCAGCCTGAACACCCCAAAGCCTGGAGCTTTTGGAGTTAATAGCTCTAGTTAGCTGGAAGTTATTGTGACTACATCTTTGCTACTCTGCTGAGGAAGAAATGCATTCCTGTAATTTCTGATTAACCCTACTGTAAGTCTACACAAGAAATTATTGGCTATCTTTGTTGGTAATGAAGACCACCATTTCAGACAACACAACTTTCAAAGCTTCACTGATGATATGGTGATAAAAAATAGCAATACTCAGAGGCTATTTTTTTTCTTTTTGTTAGGTGAGATAATGCAATGATGTAATAACATAAGAGGGTGAACTTGGATTGGGAGGGATTTTGGCAGATTTCTTAACTCAGAAGTTGTTCTCTTGTGTTTGTGTTTTCTTGCACGTTAGGACAAGGCACAGTCAGATATATTTTCCAGCCTGGTGAATAAAATGAAGCTCAAAGAGTTTAGCTGAGATTGGCTTCCCCTGCAAGAAAGATTGCTCTTTGTTGCCTGGATCATAATTTTAAGGCATGAAAACTATTCATCAGGAAAGCAGCATTTTAACTCCTTCCATCTTGCAGCCTGATCTACGCTGAGTAAAAAAATCCTCATCCATGGAAGTTGATCAGAGTTCACTATGGGCTGTAATAAGTCTATGGGGTCACCTCGATTGCTGTATATCAGTGTGGTTCCGTCAGTATGTTCTTGATAAGCCATCCTATTGCCATGATTTAATCCAAATCTGTTTAATCGTATATAATCCACATAATTCAAACATCCTCACCAAGGATCCAGTTTTATAGCTGTGCTGGGGGGAGGGAAATCTTGTGTTGTCACAAGTCATGCTGACATCAGTGGGGTTTCTTATTGATGTAGGACTTAGTGCTGGCACATGCAGTTACAGCAAAATTGGGGTTTTAGCATATTTGCAATTTGATGTATTTTTAGGAGGCTGTTGCTTTGAGGTAAGCAAGTAAATGAACTCTGGGCCATGTCCAACAAAATCTCTTTAAGAACTGTGCCCGATGGTCATTTCAAGGAAAATATGTGTAGGAGTCTGACATTATATGTTATGCAATTAAAAATTAATTAGACTTTTTAAATATTTCTAGTGTAGAAATGTCACTTTATACCAACTATTGTCAAAAAGAGCCTGTGTGCTTCCACGGCTTTTTTTTATTGCTTTAGAAACGTTTAACAACAAAATATAGATATTTTTCAGCGTAGGTAACATGCAGACATTATTGCAACATTACTGGTGGCAATCCTTGTGTTCAAGATACTCACATCAGGTTGCAGTACATTTGTGAAGCTATTTGTTAATGTGATACACATGCAGTCTGATGCCTTATACCCTGGAATTTGAAAAAAAGGGCTTGAACCCATGAGTAAATGGTAAACATCTGAGCAATGCTGCTGAAGTCAGTCCATGCATCTGTTAACAGTGCAGACTAATCCTTAAAAAATAATTATGAAAAAGGCAAAAAGAAAACACCAGTTTTTCCAAGCCAGTGAAACTCCATACTGCTTAATGTGAGATACTGGGTGGATTGGTGCATGATCTGAAGGACTGAATCCATACGTGTAAACATGGTTTACTCGTTACCAATGAAAACAGTATGTGTGGAACTTTTATTCAGCTTGCATACTCCATCATTTCTGATACATTTTTAACTTGACTTTTTCTTTCTTTGTGGCCATTTTGCAATTTTCAGTGGATTTGTTTTGATTGTAAATAGGCATACACATTAGCTAGAGCCAGATAATTTCTTCTGGCCAGCTTTGCCAGTAAATCACTGAGCTATGTAATTGGGTTTGTATAAAATTATGCACTGTGAACTTGGGAATAAGTAAAACAAACAAAAAAAAAGTTGATTTTTTGGTACTATCATTTTTGTGTAAAAGTTTCTTTTTCACACGTTTTTTCTACTCCGCAATGTGATCGTTGTGATCATTCTTTCAGTGTTGAATGAAAGGCAAACTACAGAATAAATCCAAGAAAAACTGATAATAATTTCTGGTTTGGCTTGTAGGTGAGCTGAATACAATGCCTGCATTTGTGGCTAACTCCAAGCAATACATTATGAAGATGATGTTATTCAGACACACACCCAAACAATTTGATTCAGACAAATTGGATACGAGACTTTGACCAGCATGAGAAGAGAACAGGTGAGAACCCTTGAGAGCAGAGCTGAAATAATAAATGTTCTGATGGTCAGGAAAAATATTTCTCCCGTAACACAATAGCTCTTCTAATAGAAACTCAAAATACTAATTACAATCTGCCTAAAGACTTATTATAAATGAAGTGGAGATGGAAACATGTTTATATTATGGGGAGGCTTATTTGCAGATAAGCAGGAAACCAGTCACACATCTTCACAAACATAATTTTAGCTGTTTTAATTAGCAGGTTTGCTTTGATTTAATTTAATTCAGCGATTCCTTCTATCTTTACTGACACATGTGCAAATAAAAAGCTCTGACCTGACTTTTGACATCCAGTTTCCTTTTTCATTTCTGTTTTTGTTGTTGTTGATTTCAGCAGTGTTTACCATGAAATGATGGGGTCAACACTTCCTAGCAGCGTGGCCAACAGATGTAGCGTGGAGATGACAACTGTACGTTTTAGTGGTCTTTTGTTACCTCAGCACTGACTGATGGCTGAGAGGCTGGAAGCCAGAATGTCAAAGGCCATCAGATGTCCTAGCAGCCTCTAGGTCCCCTTTCTGTTAAGGGTTGAACTGACAAAAATATTTTTGTGTAGTTGCACGTAAAAGTGCTGTCAGCTTTTTGCAATAGAAAGGAACCCTAAGAAGAAGCCCCATGTGTGCCTTTAGCAACTTATTTTAGCTTGTGGACCAACTTCAGGCTGAAGAGCAAGATTTAAGATCTTCCAGGATTCACATGTTTAATATTTGGAGATTCAATAATTTTATCTAAAAGTCAAAGTAGCTGTTGATAGAAAAAGACCATGTATGATGGCATAAAAATACCACATTAACTTACTGATAAAAGAATCTGTGGTGACTTTGCTGAGCTTTTGTTGGTCTAAATGCTTGGAAACTATTTTTTTTTTCTTTATGTCAGGAAAGGAACTGTTCATACACCAGGTGTTGCTCTCCCAACCCCTCTCTTTTTCAATATCTCACAGCTGTATGATAGGTAATTAAAACAATCACCGACATGTTTCAAAGCTGTTGTAGCCTTTAGTTGACTTTTAAAACTCTTATTTGAAAAAGAATGGTGAAATTAATTTGTATCTGGCTCAGGAATGTGCTCTTTACTTGAGCAATGGACTTTACAACATTGCCAACAAAAAGACTGAAATTAATATTACTCTTGCCTTTATCTAGGGTTATTCTGTTAACTGTTTTATACTGGAAATTAATTTCAATATCAGGCAGATGTCTACAAGCCATGAATGCAGCAGCTCCAGCATACAGTCAGATAGCTTTCTCTTCATAATGATGGTAAAAATAATAATTTAAAAGAAGTAAACTTGCCAGCACAATTAAATGATTCTGATGTAGATAATGGAAAGAGGAAGTTTTAAAGAATGGACTATAAAATGAGTAAGATTAAAAAGTGTCATTTAAAATAGTATTATGTGGTTGTTTAGAAAAGAACTGTAATTTTACAGGCTCATCTTTCTACTGAGAAGAATTACTGTGAGATACAGAGACTTTGGGATGGGTGTATTTGTGATGCTGAAATGCTCTGCTGTTTTCTGTTGGTTTTGTGTATGTGTTTCTTTTCTGTGCTTCAGCAGCTGGCTTTATGAAACTTGTAATTCATTCATTGTGCTTGCTCTATGGGACAGGATTTTATTCTGAAAATAAATTTACTTCTAATATGTTCTTTCTGATCATTAAAAAAAAACCCTTCATCTTTATGAATGATTGTATTGTTACATCAGTGTAAAGTGGACCATGTAGCACAAGTGAACAGAAAATCCAGTGAGCAATGTGTATAAAATGTAAGAAAGTGAACAAGAAAAGCAGTGTATGATCTAAGAATGAAGCAGAAATTTAGTTTGGAAACATGTTTTATTGTCATACAGCCTTGTGAGATCCCAGTTATTCGCATAGTTATTGATTAAAAACAACTGCATTTGCAGGAAAATATGCGCTTCAGAAATAACCAAGATATGCAGTGGCAGATCTTAAGCTTTTCATCGGGGTGTGCAGTTTGTAGGTACAGGCAGGAGCATCCCTCAGAGGTCGGGCACAGGCTGGCTTTCCTCTCCTTGTTCTCAGAAGGATGTCTGCCTCATCACACTTCTCTTGGCTGCTCCACAGTGTTCAATTTCTTTCTCCTCTTTGGATTTGCCTCTTTGGAAATGTGTAATTCCCTGGCGTAGGTATGAGGTGACAGCTGCAACACAGAGGAAATACAAGTTAGGCGTGGAATTGGTTCTGGCTTAGAAATCACTAATTTTAGGAAAAACATGCAGGATGATATCTTCTGCATTTTCCTCATTGGTTTGTGGGGGAATCCTCATCTGGTGCACACACAGACATACATATAGAGCAAGTGTTTTTATTTATGTGTGTCTAAAAATCTGGAAGATACCAGCTAACAGAGTGCAAACAAGAAATACCAATATTGGCAAATCTAAACCAGTAAATATCCATTCTGACTTTTCCCATTAATTTTAAACGAAATACCTCTTCCTGTTTATACAAACATATGCAAAGGAGCAAAGAAGAGGAAAGGATCATGGTGTTTATTAAAAGCAGCATGATCCTTTCCTCTTCTTTGCTCCTTTGTGAATGTTTCTAACCACACACAGAACTGCAAAGAAATGTACAAATGAGAATAAAAATAAGATTCAAATGCTAATCTGCATCTTTGCTACAGCACAACTCAATTTGACAGTATATTTTTGCCAGGTGGAACAAAGAGCAATAAATTAGTTTTGAACATTTATGATCTTGCTTTATAAAGACTGCAACAGACTGTGTTCAAAATCAATTGTCAGAGTGATGGGGGTTTAATAACTCTGGTTCTGTAACCTTTTACATATCTACAGACCGGGTAAGGGGACATTTCTAGATCTGCTGCCATTTTTCATTATTGCAACTTATATTTGAAAGACCTTTTTGATGCTTAAAAAAAGAAACAGATTACTTTTTAGTAGAGCTGGATGAATAACTCACAATTAATAATTCATTCAGTGAATTTTACCTTTTATTCTATGGGAAGAATAAAAAAATTAGTTGTTAATTTTTTTCATGATTTCTATTGAGTAGCTGGTTTTCTAATCAAAACTGGAACTCAGAATCCAAGGTGTGTTACTTATTTGTGATTGATAAGTCACGTGGCATTGGTTTAACTCCCTAATTAATTGAGGACAAATTCTAGAATAATTTTATGATTAAATGTTTGAAGATAGCGTATTTTAAAATCCTTTGCCACATGCATGCAGTTTTTGCAAGTATCATTGGAAGTGAAAATCCAAATGTATGAAAATTGTTGAAAGGAAATGCAAATGAGGCAGGAATACGGCCAAATCAGATTCATTACAGGGCACAAATGAGTTTTTGTAGACTTCTACAGAATTTCCAGCTGTAGTTTTTCCTTGCTAGTTCAAGTTCCTGTTTGAGAGAAGCCAACTAAATATTGAAGAAAAATGTGGGAGCAAGGTAAGTAAGAGCTGAAGTAATAGGCAGTCTTCATTAGCAGCAGCATGGAATTTCCCTAGCTCCCTAGCTATTGTATTGCATTTTACAATAGTGAAATATTTTATGGTAGTGAAACCATTTGAACAGCTGCCATCTTTTGGCTTTCTCTGCCTCTCAATGGGCAAGTCCAGATCCCACCAACACAAGCCCTACTGGGCTAAGAGGCAGGTATGGATTTTTTTATTTTTTTATTTTTTGTATATGCACTTCATTTTGGTTTCTTCTAAATAGAGCAAAAGCAGTTAAATATTTCCCAACAAAACACATATATGCAATCTCCAGGGCTGTGCATACCATCTAACTGTCATTTCCTTTGATTAACCTTCACCTGACCTCACTCCCTAAGGCAGTTTCAAATCCTTTTGTTCCTCCATTTAAGAATTGCACTCTATCAGGTGAGTACATCTGTCGTTAAGGCACGGGCCATTTTACTGGAACTCAGCAGAGACGCGATGGAAAACTGTGCAGAATTTGTCACAGATCAGACAACGTGGTTGAATGTGCAGATTTATCTTTTCCAAGAGACAGAGAAGCAGAGTTTGTGCGAATCAGTTGAAGGTAGCTGAATTCTAAGAGTCTGGGTTAATTATTTTATGAATATTAAATACTTAAGGTCAGAAGAGGATCATGACTATGATAAACAGGACTGTTCTGCTGCAACTCCTTCATGTTATCAGGAAGTGCCAGTTTGGGGAGGATAAAATTACCAACAGGGAGGATCAGAGTTAAGGAATTACCTCCTTCACCACAGCAGAGTCTGGCAGCTGCCTAGGTAGTCCATTCGAGCACTTTGAAACACTCAGGTTGGTATTCGGTCCCCAGTCCTTCTTTACAGGTAGTGAGATAATAAAAAGTCCAGAAGAAAGACAACATTTCTAAGTGACCTGTGCTCATAAGTTTCAATCAGCCCAGCCTGAGTTTTTTTGGATGGCATTTTGAAGGAATGTTGACACTGTGTCACAATTCGGTACAATTCCTATTTTTAAGTCCTGGAAACTCATCTAGGGTGAATAATATGAAACAGATATTACGAATCCAGTCTGATCACACATTTGGCTGACAGCAATGAAGAACAAAGCCTACACTGAATCCTTCTTTTATATTAGGGAATGCCTTTTGGAATGATATTAAAGGCCATGTTTGATGATGTATTTCTGCATCCCAAAGTAAACTGTCCAGTGACTCCTACTTACTCCTAGCAGCTAAAACTATGCATCTCGATTCTAAGCTTAACTTGACTTGATATCATTTGCTGATAGATTAAAGATGTGCTATTCAGCATTGTATCAATTCCTAGGGATGATGATCAACTCATCTCTTAGCTCAGTCTTTGATGAACTAAATAGGTCAGACTTCCTTGGTGTTTCATCATCAAGAGTATTTTACAGATGTTATACAATATTTGTAGATATTTTCTTCCCCTTTTCAGTTCTTTTTTTAACATACAGTTTGAAGTTGGATAAACAGAGTTTAAGTATCAAACATTTAAGGTTTTCCGCTCAAATCTTGAAGGATTGTACTGCAGGAGGTTTATAATCTATTTTTAAGGTTTTATTTATGCTAGCTCTTTTTTTTCGCCATTCTAGCGGGTGAGTTGCTTACATTTTGTGCCTCCCGTGGAAGCTGACACCATTGCAGCTGCAGAGGGGTGTTCCAAGAGCTGCCAGCACCAGCACGTGGGTGAGTCCGTGCCAGCCAGCAGCACTGAGAGCCCTGCCCGCTCCGATTAACTAGCAGCCTTATAACTAATACCTGGGAAATGTAATTACATCATTCCACAGGGATTTTAAAATCCTGTTTTTGGAGTAAATGTGACTTGTTATTGTCTCTTACGAGGGTTTGGAAATGATTCTCCAGAGCAAATGTTTTCTATGAAATCCTCTCCAGAAACAATCTTCTCTCTGTGAGTGTGCTTAGTGACGGAGAGGTGCTCACCTGGTGCACTGAAGAATTTAAATGGAAGAACAAAAAGAAACTGAAATTGCCTTAGGGATTGAGGTCAGGTGAAGGTTAATCAAAGGAAATGACAGCAAAATGGCATTTGTGGCTCCTGGTACATTTTTAATCATTTCTCTCTCTCTCGTGAAAGACACGCAGGATGGACAACTTTTTATTGTTACACTTAGTTGGGGGAGATTTTTATTTTTGTGTTGTTTAGTTTAAAATACTTTAAAGTATTACTTTTAGATTTCTCCCGTAGATTTGGCTCCTGAAATGTTGTATCTCAGTGCCTTGAATTTGTGTGTGGGAAATGGAGAATGTGTGTGGGGGAAGGAGAATGTTAAGAGAAAGCGAGTAATTTTCCCCAGAATATCTCTCCTCTTTCTAATGTGATATTTTTTGAAACAATTCCAGAAGTCATGAGTGCAGGGAATAAATACTCAGTAAAGCCAAATATTCATTTTCACACAAATGTCAGGCTAAATGAAGTCCATGAAAGTAACTACTGAAAACAAGAATAGTTTCTTTCAGGCTCTGCTAATCTACAGGTAATTGCACTGTTTTTAAGCGTAGATGTTTTGTGTATTTTTTTGGAAAGTTCTTAGAATAACTCTCATAATTACAATGAAACTTTGAAATCATGCCCAAGTTTGTGGGCTGTCAGTTATATTCTGATTTTACATCTGTGAAAAGGCCCCATTTAGAAACCCTTGTTTTCAGAGTTCGGAGTTGTCATTTTGTGCTATTCACCTTAGGTAACTTTGGCATAACTGCAACAGGAACAGGAGCAACTTTATGTAACTTATAACTGCCTGAGGCAGCTTTTAAAAAATGTGAGCAATGCATTTTTTTTCGAGTATGTTTATATAGCTCCCTTCCCTGTAATGCAGAGAATCCTAAAGAGCGTATATTAAACTCAAACAGCTCTAAATTGTGGTAAGTTGGCTGTAGCAAATATATTTTTCCTGCTCTTTAGATCTAATGCTACGAAGTATCATGTGTAGGCTACCTGCAGCCAAGACCTCACCCTGTTAAACCTTCTGAGGATGCCTTAAAGAAAACATAGTACTGCAAACCCATCTTGTGTTATCACCACTGTGAGTTGCAGTAAAAAAGTGTTGTTTTTTATAGGTATGCTTCCTCAACATTGCAGGAAAAAAAATCTGGAACTCATTTCTTTGAGTGTCGTTGCGCTGTTTATTGCTGTGATTGCTACTGGTAATGTGGCACTTTTCTGCCCGATCCCACAAAGCGAATACTGCCACATGGGTGCCATATGGGATCTTTGCCATAGAGCGGATCAAGGAGGGAAAGGCCCCCTGCACAGCACAAACAATGCTGGAAAAAGCACGTCCAGCAGTTATTGGAAAACAGAATCAGATGAAAGTGGGAAAAATGTATCTGAACTCATTGGATGGTAGTCAAATCCAGCCTACCTTTCATTTTGGGGACTGCAGAACCCAATCACCTACAGATATACAGGGAAGGATAAGGAACCTCAGCTGCAAAGGCTGAGCTGTGCACTAGCTGCGCTGACACCAGCCAGCAACCAGGCATAGATAGATAGTGAGAGATAGTGAGCTGGGTATCTCCATGTTTACAGGGCATGACTGTGACTTTACGATGCTGTAACAATACCAATGCTGTG